AAAAAAAAAAATCTTTAAAAAAAAATACCCTTAAAAAGCATCAATAGAATTTTCTTAAAATATATCTTCTGTAAGATTTAACATTTGAGCTATTTTAGTAAGTATAAAAGTTTACCATTTTGGTTAACTATATCATGAAGTGGGTTCAGTTACTTACAGATCTGCTAGGATTACTCAAGGCCTCAAACTCTCTCATCATGAAAGCCTGTCCTGATAATTGATGGTTAGAATAAAGTATGGCTTGCCTACTCGAAAAGATTTTGAGAAAGTGTGTAATTTGCTTTCGTAGGCTGACAGTATAAAAGAAAAAAAGACACTCACATGCTCTCTATCAGAAACAATACTTTTTTTTTTTTTAAAGCTTGTCTGCTTTTGTTTCCCAAGCTGAAGGATAGTAGAAGTTTGAGTTCCTTAGAGAATTTACCTAGCTGCCTGGCATCCAGAAATTCTGACAGGACACCCTTGAAGACAATATTGGGCCCCAAAGGGAACATTTTTAACTGAGCAAGGAACAAGGCACCCAGTTTCTCCATGTTTACCTACTTACCTGGAGCTCAAATACAGAGGTTGTGAGGGTTTCTGCTTCGTTTGTTGTTTCAATATGTCCTTTTGCTTTTCTGAATCTGTCTCTTGGTGGAGCTCACCTTCCTTCCTTTCTCTCCAGGTCACGGGTTTGGTTCGTCCAAGATGTCGCGTGCACAGACCTTTCCCAGCTACGCCTCGGAGCAGAGCGAAGAGGCTCAACAGTCCTTGTCCCGGTCCAGCAGCTATGGGTTTAGCTACAGCTCCAGCCTCATTCAATGACACACAGAGGACCACTGCTGACCAGAGAGACAGTCTGTCCTGGGCCCGCTCGTAGGGTGGTGGCACCCTCTGCCTCTTGGGAGACCGATTGCAGTATAAGTTGAACCGGGTTGGGTCTCGCCCCAATCCCAGTGGAAGGTTAAAAACTGGACTCTGCTTCCTTGATTCCGTGGCTAAGTCCTTTATTTATTGAGTTTCTTGGGGGGGAAATCTATGTTTTACAAAAATAGAATCCAAATTGTATGAACAGTCATTTAAATAAAATCCTTTGGGTCTGACCATAGCAGTAGCCTGGGCATCATGACAGGTGCCCTCACGGGCTTGTACCTGGGTGGTGGGCATAACCCCTGTGCTCATGGCTCAGGCCTCCGGCTGATGGCAGGGTCGGCCCTAGACATAAGGTGACCCACCACAAGCTGTGTGCCTGTAAGGCTTTGGCAGGAACAAATATGGTAAGCTCCACAAATGGCATCATAACTCTCTACATATAAATAAGCCCAGTGGCAATTAAGGGAACATGAAATTTAGAACACACTATTAAGCAGGGCCATGTAGCTCTACTTGTGTGTGTGTGTGTGTGTGTGTGTGTGTGTGTGTGTTTAGACAAATATAGATATGGATATTGCTATATCCATCTATATCTAACACGTATATATCAAATGTGTGCTGAAGGTGACAAGCTATGCTCACTTACATTGTCAAAACTGTAATTTGGTGCATTAAAATTAAGATTGTTATGTTGAATAGCTATTTTTGAAATAGTGCTATAAAAATGGCTTCTTATTAGCAAAAGTATTTATATAGTCAAGTCTGCTCCTATGACGAGTGTGAGAATGTGAGAAGGGGTACACTTTGGAAGCAAAAGAACTGGTCTAGCTGTCCTACATGTATGTCACCGTCATGTCACCATGCTGTCTTTCTGGTTAGTATCTCCTTGTGTTGATGTTTCTCCCTTTGGCAACCCCGCTGAGCTACATGGGGAAGACTGGATGTGATCACCAAACAGCTTCCATTTAGTCTTGAGAAAAAAAAGGCTCTATGTGAGAAAGATAAGATAAGATAAGATAAGAAGAGCTGAGCTATTTTGCAGCCACAGGACCACAGGCAGGGGTTGTAGATGTCATTTAAAATGGCACACATGCTGTCCTCAGAGAGCCGACAGGGCCTTGTCATTTACATGCAGCCAGAATTCGCTGGGCTTTGCTTTCCTTTTACTGGACGTGGGCCGGCTGGTCTTATAAGAAAATGGATTCATCATAATTTTTTTCATCCCTGACTTTAACGACAAACCTTCAAGGTTTAAAGGGAAGTGGTGATTTCCACATGAACTGAGGAAGTTTGGCTAATTCAGGTCAACATAGGTAGTTTTGCCTTCAATTTTGGAGTTCACATGAGTAAAAATAAAGATGATTTTGCCCGCATTATCCGATGCCACGTGCCTAAGATGGTCAGCTCACAAATACTCCCAGGGGCTTGAAACAGCAGTGAGCCCAGGTCATGTAAGATGAAAACCTGATTTTTTTTTTCTAATAGCAACAGTTTCTGAATTGTCCAAGTTAGTCTGTTGAAGGGGTGCCTGTTTTGCTGATCTGTGATAAGATAGGTTTTCATCCCTATCCTTAGTTTAAATACAGGTCGACAGTTCATTCCAGAGAATTACTACAGAATTAAATGGTTCTGGGTGTCTCCTTGATAAATCCGCAATTAGAGCAACCACCTAGACTCTTTGCATCTCTCAGATAAGTATGAAACCCCATCAAGATGCTAATCATAAGAGTTAATGTGGCTGTGAAAAATAATTATCCTAAGCTTTCATGGATAAAAAGAAAATTACTCCAGTGCTCGGCACTGTGAATTTTGCTGACACAGCAGAAGAGCAGATGATTGGCTCGTTCATGACGGTGAAGCAGCCTTCCTTGAAATCCCAGCGTTCGGAGTTAAGCACCTCTGAATGACTTGAGGACGTGGCATTTGCTTTTGAAATGCCATTGGTAAAGCTCACCAGAGCAACTCCCAGCTGAGACCACTGAGCGCAGCTCCTGGTGTGGCGCCATGCTCAGAGCAAGCCTCTCTGTGGCTCACTCGGTCGAGCTGTTGCTTAGAGACCACAAGTTTCTACAAGGGACTTTGGGGAAAGGCCCCCAGGGGTCCTGGTTTGTGTCTCAGCTTTATTAATGTGCCAGGAGCACAGACAGCGAGTCTAGGCGGGATTCTGCTAATTAGATGAGTCTGCTCTCCTGTGGATTCGGTGGGACACACAATACCTGCATGAGTTCTTTCACACTATTTGCTTGTCACCGTTTCCCGTGAGCATAGCTGAGAGGGTAGCAAAGGGCAGGCATCATCTCGGGCCAGTTTGCTCCGAGCATCATGCCGTAGAAAGAGCCCGGGAGGTAGAAATGTCCTTCCCACGTCTTTACCCAATCTCATCCCAATGTGAATAATGCTATAAAATATCTCATGGTACAATTTTGGAGATTTATTCTAGCAGACTCCTCCAACTATACTTACGATTGCAGCTAAGCCCAAGTTGCCAAATGAAGAGACAGGAGACTTTATATTAACCTAGTATCCTTGACATAAGGCAGTGTGCATTGTAGTAAAAATGGCAGGCAGATACATCGTCTACAAAAACCAAAGATGAAATGTTACTGAACCAGCCTCCTGGAACGTCATAAAATCCATTCCACCAGAGCAACCAGTGGTCATAGGCATGTGTTCAACTCCCTCGAACTTGCAGCTTTTTGACTGAAGATGCCTCTATACCTTGCAAGTCACTGTTCTCCCTTCAGAAATTGTATTATATCTTTAATAAACACGTGACTTTTTCATTGTGAGGGAGTGACTGGCTATGAACCAAAGACATCTTTTGGCTCCTTCTGAAAGTGATTCAGTTGGGGGTTCCTCCCAGGTTGAGACAGGTGAAAGGGGAGGGTTGCAGTTTCCACATCGGGTTGGAAGAGAGAAAGATGAAGGAACCCAACTCAAGTCACGAAGGCCCTTCTAGCGGCAGGGTCAGCCTGGGGACACACATGTCACAGAAACATTACACGAGGGGATGCATTTTTTTATGTCCCCAGGTTTTTCCTCTGATAATATTGTTGTACACATAACATTATATTTAAAATGCAGAAAAGTCCAAAATAACTTTAGTCTAGTGGTTTACTATGCTGGTGGGGGAAAAGAAAACACATCTTTCGTTTATTCATTGAATGAATAATAGGCACTCAGAACCAATTTATTGATGCAGGTTGCAAATATTTATGAATCAATAGGTTCTGTCCACAGCCGCAATTTGAAGTGAATGAAATAAGAAATATATATTTATTTATATGTTAGGGAAGATGTTGTTTGATAGAGCATGTGAAATAAAGTGAAACATATTTATTAATAGTAAACCTCACCTTTTTCACCAAGTAGTTACTAGAGTACTAGTCCTAGTATCTTGTCCAATTTTTCTTTCTCTTCTTTGGGCAGTTATGTTTGAAAATTATTTATTACCTATAAACTGGTCAGCCACTTATACTTTGTGTCCAATATAGAAACAGTGGACTGATAAATAACTTTACACTGTTAGCAGTTTCTACAGATCCAATTTATTGCATGTGGTATTTTTATGGTAGCTATTAAAAATACATTATAAAAAAATGATGTTTGCCCCTCATTTTTTGGCCAATATCTCAGAAACTGTTAAACAGCATGAGTACCTCATTCCCTAGATTATTGAGACACTTCCTAAAGTCGACCATTAATGATACAGTGAAAAAAGCTAAGCAAATTATATTCTCATAAAAAATTGTATGCCTGTTTTGATTATTATGATGCAGCACAATAAATGGGCAGTGTGCTTTCAGTGGGACTATGCCTAAAGGGCCTTTAACACCTCATGTTACAACAAAGATTATGCTAAGAGCTGCTCAAAGTGAAAAGTGTTCGTTTTTCTCCAATTCTAGTAACATACTATGTCGGTTCATATCTTACAATTTCAAATTACTTTACCAATAATTAACTATACTTTACAATTCCCCCAACCTCAGCCTTCTCAAAATAGAGAAAAATGTGTCTCCTTGACATGCATGAATAATTACAATAATAGGTGATATGCCCCAAAAATGGATTTCTAGCCTATGAAATTTATGGAGTGCAATTTCCCATGGAGCGGGTACAGAAGGAGGAAAGGAACTAGTCAGAAAGGCAACAATTTAGCTAAGATTATAAAGACCCCAACGAATTTTCCAGAGTAACACCAGGACTCTACTGTCCTAACGTTCTAACTTCAGTTCCATATCCCCGGCCACCTTTCCTAGTTCTACCGAGTACTAAGCATACAAGACAACATCTGTATCATGTTGTTAAGTTACCACAGAAAGACAACACATTCCCAACACGTATGCTTCCTTTAGGTTCGTGAAAACTATTTAACACAAAATGGTGTGTAACAAAATCCCCCTGGTAAAATGTCTCAGTAACACGAGGATCGTGTTTGTGTGGTGACCCGCTGGAGTTTCCACATGAAGATGTGTTATCAGTGAGACTGGCAGGGGGCTGAATGTGTCAGAAGAGATCGACAGCCTCACGTGTGCATTCTCTGTAAATGTGCTGTGAAAGCTGAACCCATTTTTCCTCCCTGAAACTACTACAAATCTTTCTTTTTTTACTGGAGAATGTGACATTTTGTGGTATCATTTCTACAATTTATTCCAAGATGAGGCATTAGGGAATTTAGACTCCCGCAGTGATTTGGGGCACATTTTCTGGATAGACAGAATGCTAGCTAGCTCTGGAAGCAGTCCTGTAGAATGAAGGTCTGATTTTTATGTTCCACTCAGGACAAAACCGAAATCCATGGATGGTGTAATTTATTCACAGGAAAGAAACAGTCAGAAATAGGCTCTCCTAGTTAAGACTCCTAGTCTGGGGATGTTTCCTGGGCTCCATCCCATCTTCCAGTGAGATGTAACTGGAGTTGAGAAATGCCACATGGCCTGTAAGCTAATAGGCCCTGTACATTTAAGTGTTTTCCCAAATTTTTCAGATGTCCCTAACTCTTCCTGGACTCATCACCGATTATATCAATAGAGCGGCTTTATGGGCAATTTATTAGGCTTGTTGTGGGTCATGAATGATTGGTATAAGTGTTATTATTCTTGCATTGTTATCCAGTTCTTTGTTGGAAATTTCAGACTTTTCCCAAAATGATAAAAAAAAAAATTAAGTAGGTGTCGATGTTTTGTATTCCTACTAATTTATCATGTTGTAATTATGATTATTATTTTGGGAACCCTTATTACTCTGTAGCACGTTGGTTTAATTATTTGTGGCATTTGTCACAACTTTGTTAAAGAATTAATAACATCAGGGCTACATTTTCTTTTCATGTGAACTTTGAAAACCTTCCATTTTCAATTCAAATTTTGGGAATGCTTTTTTTACATTAAAATGCCTTACACATCAAGTTTTTCCTTATACACATCAGTAGGCAATTATTTAACTGAAGTTTAGATAAATTAGAAATAAGTTAAAATTACTAAATAACGTGAAAACCACATTTTACTTATGATTGTCATGCACTTTTCCTAGTGTAAAATTGTAATATATTGTAAACATTTAAAGGAGAGGAAAAGTACACCTGTAATAGGAATATGTCAACTTCCTTCTAACAATTCTGTTAAATAAGTTTAAATTTTACCTCATCTTCAATGCCTGCTACCCTAGTCCATATTCCATATCCCAATTTTAAAAGGAATGAATGGATTGAAAATTTTTAATAGTTTTGTGTGGCTAGTTTTAGTAATTGATGCAGTTAATGTTCTCAATCTGTTCTGTGCTTGAGGGATGATGTTAAAGAGAGCATAAATCAACACTTTCTGTAGGTCCAGAATTGTGTGGCAAATGAAGAAAGTCATCTATCATGATCGTGTCGTTGGGCCCATGTTGGGATTTCATTGCTCTCTTAATTCACCCACATGACTCACAGCCTCAGAAGAGTTGCTTTTTCCAGGAACCCAAGACTTAAAAATCCGAATTCAGGAAAGGAAGATTGAAACAATGACTTGATTTTCTTTGTTAAAGTCACTGCAGGTTTTCTCTCAAAGAAAACATCTTGGCGGGACGCTTCTGGTTTTTCAATATCATTCACTATTTGACAGAGGGGCTGAAAGGCAGGGAAAATGAAGAATACAATAATAGTCTCTTGATATTCAATACAAATCAGAAATGGCCATGATATAGGTCAAAATGAAATAGTTTGATTAGTCACGTTCAGATTTACTTACCTATTGCGTAATTCAGGGAACAATGCTCATTCTTCTCCAAAAATATATGTCAGTGGGTGGAGTGGGAAGAAAGAAGCTCCAAATTTTTGTGAAGACCTGAAGTAGGAAACAGAGATTCTTTCCAGTTCTAAGACACTCTGTATTGTTTTTGATGTAGCAGGCAGTGTGTGAATCAGAGCAACATCAGTCGGCTCCCCGACAATAAATGAGCATGAGGGCCAGTGTCATCTTCACTGCAGACCCCTGGTTATGCCCCCAGTTCAGTACCCTCTACACACACACACACACACACACACACACACACACACACAATCATACACTTTCGACCTTTGACCTACTCTATACGTCCCACTGTAGTTATCTTTTTCTTAGGTCCACACAGAATTATCCCATCTTGCAAAATCCTTACCCCTATGAATCGTCAAGATATATTAAATTATGTGTTATATATTTGCTTCCTGTAAATTCTTTTAAATTAATTTATATACTTTGTGAAGGCTTATACTGTATATTATAAATATATCAGTTGTCATTGGTTGAGTATAATGCTTACCATTGTTTTGATAAAAATAACTTTGGAGGCTAAGTTATTTTTAGCCTCCAAAATAGGAGGCTATTTTCTTGTGGAGAAGTAAAATACCCATTACAAATTTGCTTCTATTGGAAAACTATGTGATTTGACAGTCTTTCTTTTTAATCACAATCTGTTCCAGGTAATAGTTTGGGGACATGTATACTTAAACCCTAGCTGAGCTACCTTTTGGAATGGAATGTAAAAAAATACTGTCCCTGGAACCCAAATGTAAATTTCTGGCAGAACAGAAAATATTATAATAATGAGGCAATAATAAAATTAGGAAATTAAATTGTCTTTAAATATGTCTGTGTGATTTTTCCCCTTTGGTACAAATACATGAAATACATAGTTCAAGAATAAACTTCTTCTGAATTTATGGTTTCTATGCTTCAATACTCAATAGATTAGTCTATTGGTATTAATGTCTGATTCATAGTTATAAGAAATTTACAAATGAGATTGCTATCAGGAGGATCATTTATAGTTGTGCGATATTAAATTTCCCTCACTTAAAAAAAGGTAAAGCAGTTTAAAAATACGACTTTACAGCACAACTTTGCATGATTGAGATTTGAACATCTAAATGGATGGTTTTTACCTGGGAGTTATTGAATATTGTTAGCACTGTAATATTATATGACTCCTTACGTTTTTATTATCATGTGATGAATTGTAACTATGTACTTAAACACAATTCTGACAATCATATTCTGCAATTCTAACCTTTTAAATGTCAATTATTCTTTTATTTATTGGCTTGCTTATTTTCAAAATAAAGTAAAAGAAGGCTCTTCATTAAATGTAAGATTACTGAGAATTTATTATGTATTTCCAGTGTTTCCCTAACCCTATGTATAATAGAATATAATGTTTATTAGGTTGACTCTGCTTTGGTGGGATCAGAAAGCGTTAATATTGGAAATGACATTGGAGATCAACATTTTATTTTCTAGTGAAGAGGCATCCAGAGTTGTAAGTGGCTTTTATAGCATCACACAACTAGGAAACAGCTTTTCCTCTAGCATGATGTTCTCCCTCTAATAACCAAGGAAATTACAGAAAATTAACATTAGGTAGACAAATATCTAAGATTGAAAGCAAAAAGCATACAGTCATAACTGCACTAAGTACCAATGACTTCCTTATTGTTTCCCATCCCATAATCGCTAAGGCGGGTCAATCAAGAAACACTTATTGAGGGCCAGCCAAGTGGCGCATTGGTTAGGAGTTGGCTTGGGACACCAGCTCTGAGCAGCAGGGCCCCAGTTCAGATCCCACATGAGGGCCAGTGACACTGCGCTCTCTACAGCTAAGATGGTGAACAACAGCTTGACCTGGAGCTGGGTTGCTATGAGTCACCCGTGACTGTGTAGGCTGCAGTGGGGCTGGCCAGCAGCTGGCATGAGCTTTCCTGAGCTGCCATGAGCGGCCATCCAATGGCCGGCGAGCGACTGCCTCAGCCGGGAAGAGCGCAATGATAATACCAACATGGGCCAGTGAAGCGACGTCCTCCACAACTAGACTGAAGAACAAAAGGACAGCAACTTGTCTGTTCCCCTTCCCCAGTTCCCCAACGCTGTTCCCCTCCCCTAACTCCCCAATAAAATCTATAAAAAAAAGAAAAAGAAAAAAGAAAAAAAGAAACAACTTATGGAGCACTTAATACCTACAAAACATGTGTGAAGGGCATGCAGTATCTCCTGGCTCGTGGCCCTTCCTGCCTTTCAATTTCTTTTGATGTGTCTCAGGGTCAGGAGGGAGCTCTGACGGCACAGGGGTGTGTGGCTTTACCCAGGACAGGACGTGCTGAGGGCTGAAGACGGGAGTCGGGGAAGGCGAGTGACACCCCTCGTCGGCTCGCCAGGTCATTTTCTCTGAAGCTGTCTCTGATTTCCTATCTCCTCCTCTCCCTCCTCCTTCTCCTCCTTGCTTCTCTTCTCTTTTCTCTCTCCCCCACTCCCACCCATAGTTAGACCCTATTGTTGTTGGTTTTTTTTTGGGGGGGGTTAATCACAAGGAATTATTATACAGAATTCATACACTAACATAACTCCAAAACTATCTCTTGCTATTCAAATTGTATAATTTTTTTAACTTTTTTTTCTAAAATTCCCTATTCCTCTCAACAGAAACTTACACATAAGACAAATATTTACTTACCCTCATTTTCTTTGTATGTGTAAATTATAGACACCTGTTCTACCTATTTTATACTGTTCTTAATATTTGCAAACTTGTGTTGTAAGGTAGTCAAAATATATATACTATTTTAAAATCCAATTGAAAATAATGTTAATGGAATCTTCTAAAAGCTGAGAATTCAAATTATTATAACACTGTGCACAATTTAGAGTCACTTGGGGTGACACTTAACATCTCAGGTAACATCAACAGTGCACACAGCACTAAATGTTCACTATATTCATGAATGCAATGTAATTTCATCCTTCATGTCCTTCCGAACTCTTCAACAGAGATGTAAAATGGTCTCGCAAGACCAAACAAAAAAAGAGAGAAGACAAAAATTACCAATATCATCAATAAAACATTTCTTGATCATGCTGTTAGTGCCTTGCTTCCTCTTACCCAGGAATTCTTCTAACCTCACATTTACCCTTTGTGCAACTAAACCTTAAAATAACTAAGATTGAATGCATGTGACCAGGGAAACTTTTATTCCATTTTTGCAGAATCCAAAATATGGTTATTAAACCTGGTGCCTCAGACTTTGTTCTGTGACCTGTGGGTGTTTGTGACAGTTCCTCTGATATGACTTTTGCTGGTTGAGTAGACTTGACATATTATTGTCTTCTTGTGGCCTGTGATGGAATTTATTACCTTTTGCTTCTTTCTGGACTAAAAATTGTATGAAGCCCAATGTTGATTTCAGCGTAGTCAGGGAAATTGAGTGTGATCTCCTATTCTTCAGATTGCATTGTATATATTATTCGTGCCCAATTTTCATATACCATAAAAATTTTGACAACTGACTCTATTTTGTCTCAGTTGTCAATTGGAGTAATAATATTTATCTTGCCTACATCTAAGAGTTGTTTTAAGAATCAAATGGAAGTGTATAACAAGTTGTTTCCAAAATTATAGTACATAGTAGAAACATATAATGATATATCTTGTCAATAGCCAAATTTTACAATAGCTACTCGCTAGCTATTGTCATAATGATCAGATGTGAAAAGTTATATATATATTTCTTTGTACATTGATGTGAGCTAAAAAAAAATCAGGATTTGCTTCTGATGCTCTCATATGATCAAATAAAAAGGTAAGATAAATCAGTTCAACTGAAGCCACACAAAAAGCTGTAATAAGAGATTTTAATAACTTTGAGAGTTCATTGGAGAGCTCAAAGTGTCACCCTGTTAGCTGATTGAAGAATAATGGTCACCACAAGTACTTTTGAATATGTGGGATAAGGATTACAATGAATACATTAATAAATAAGAAGATCATCTTAAGAATGAATTTCCAGGAAAATACAAAATCAGTTTAGATTATTTAAATTTTGAAGAGTGAAGAAAGTTATCAGAGGTTCTTAATTTTTATGTCTTACAAATATGGTTTGGTGTCACTATTCAGTGATTTGGAGAATTTTTGTTTGATATTTTAAACTCATGAGAATTTCGTCCAGAAAAGGCCTTTGGTTATTTGAGCTCATGTAGAAGATTGACACTGCTTTCTTCCTTTAATAAGATTTGTTTCTATAGGTCAGATGGCACTTGGTATAATTTCTTGGCATTTTAATTGGCAGTTTTCCATTAAAAAAATGGACAAGGGTCAACTTGGAATTTCAGAGATAGTATGTTACAAAGAAATTGATATTTTGTGTAAAGATACATCTGTCTACACATAAGTGGCAGTTTTTTAGAAAACTCAATGAACAAAGTTGAAGCCTAGAAAAGTATGTGATATATCTATTATTTGGAGGATTGGTGAATCCTAATATCCAAATCCAACCCAAATAGTATTATTAAAAATGAACTTGTGGCCATTTTTCCAAGACTACTGACTGTAAGTATTACTATAGATACTAACTTGTATTTATTTATGCACCACTTTATTCAAACTCAATCTTGGAGGTATTTGGATACACCTGTAATAAATTCAGGTATTATACAAGGCCCTGAACTCATA